ACAACAGCAAGAGCAAAGATGTTGTAATCACATGGGTTCCTGGCTGGATTTCCTGATGAAAATGTCTACTTTAACAAACCACCTGCAAACTGAGATGAGGTTTTCACACTCCGTCTCGAGCCATTTATTCCTGGAATGTTACATAATACAGCAGTGGGTTCTGCTCGCAACCCGCCTGGACAGAGCCGAGGAAGAAAAAGCGTACGGGGAGCGTGGTGAAGCAGGGCGAGAGACGCAGTCATCAGTCTCTTCTAAACCACGCCTGTCGTCTTGGGCGTCTCGTCTTGTTGTCGGCACACTCTTGTATGGTCTGTGACAACATGACATTTTACAAAAGAGTGACTCTTTTCAGCATCATCGGATGTCAGTAGATGTTGATATTTTTCACAACTTCCATTGCTTGATCAGAGGTGCACACTCTTCTTGTTCGGCACCTTAATAGCTTGGGTATTTGCACGTCACATTCAGTTTTTAGTTTAGCTAAAAAGCACAAGGAGAAAAAGGTGTTTGGCGTTTTGAGTGTTATTAAGCTAAAATGACATGACTCAAAGCATTACCGTGCATGTCTAATAATCGACAAGTTGACAAGATTAAAGCCATTCCGTCGACTGTGCGTGCTGCTCCCATCCGATTGCCACCGTACGAACGAACTGTGTGGATGAATAACTGCCGTGATGACAAAGCTGCAGGGGATCTTAATGAACCACCGAGCAAACACCTCTTTGGCTGCCGAGAGCTTGTGACAGTAAATGAGTCTGGCATCTGCGTCAGGCAAAGATATCATACGAGACAGCTGATTGGTTCTGCCTGTTGTTCCGCCTTCTACTCTCAACCGGAAACTGTAATTGTCTGGTTGAAGTGTTGATGGGAGATTTAATTTGTGTCATTTCTTAATTTGTGGCTCAAACCTTTGGCAACACAGAGGCGTGGACCGCAGGACCCTCATTAGGACTTGACTGCATCAACAGGAAGCTGAGTCCAAAGTGGCAGGATGTTGGGTATTGTTGAGCTGTTTGGGATTATGAGCACGGAAGGCCATGCAGTCATTTTTTTCATATTTCTTTTTCCTCAGCTCAGAAATTATTTTTCTGGGATGAATTCATTTTGGTTTTGACAGCTTGTCAAGATATGAGGCATTTGATAATGAATATATGTATTTGTCCATTGTACATGTCTCCCTCTCTTTTTGTCTTTCTTTCTTGTGCATGTGCAGCACATCTCTACACATACATATTATGTGTATAACATATAGGAATGAGCGTGGGTCTCTCTGTTCTACATAACTTGTAACACAAAGGATATTACAGTGGCTTTCAGCTCCAGAGATATTTAGCAACATGCGTTATATATTTACAAAATTCTGCATTTTTGGATCAGAGATGATAACAGGGCTGGAGAGACAGTTTGCTTCTTTCTCTCCTGAACAATTGTTTTCATCAAAAGTGCACCTAGTAGCTAACCAACTAACAAGACATAAAAAGTTGACTGGATTTTGTTAACGCCTGCAAGCAGGAACATTCAGAACTGTAGCAGGATTCCTGTTTGTGACACAGTAATCTAATGGTGAACGTTACAAAAGCAAGTCATTGATTGAGGTATACTTAAATTAATCGAAAGGATTTTTAAGTTTACATGTCTGACCTATCTATACATTTTGGCATTTGTCCAATCTGTGTGCTTCGGAACAAATCCATGCATTTTCTAACATTTCCTTTACAACTAATGTTCAATTAAAAAAAGTAATAAAAACAGAGTAAATCTAATCTTCCATCCAGGATGGCAAAAGAAAGCTCATTTGAAATGAAGACAATTGCATGTTATTTTTGGACTCCCCTGCTGCCTTTTTCTGCCGGTGAAGAGCACGTTCGTCTTTGGGGACAGTGGTTACCGAGGTGAATGACTTTCTTGGTTTGCATGCAGCAGGTAGACCCTTAAGGAAACGTCTACATACCACTGATATATGTTGACAGTCACCCTTTAGATGATCTTCACTTTCATGTTCAGCCAGGGGAGTGAGTAAGAGAGAGAGGGCAGTGAGGCTCGTCCACATCCTACTCCAAAAAAAAATTCTGTGTTTTTTGTCTCTGCGGCCATTAAGGAATCCGGACAACGCTCAAAGAACACCCGGCAGTTAAAAAAATTGTTCAAAATTGTTACTTCTAAACTAGATTACTGCAATTCTTTATTATCAGGACGCTCACTTTCGCTCACTTTCTTTCATATTGCACACGTCACTTTCACTTGTCACTTTCTGTTTGCTGGTGCACTTTATTTTTCATTTTTAAATATTTGTAACTTTTTAACTTTGAGCTTTTATTCATTTATTTTTAAACTAACCCATGGCCTTATACTACTAACACATAGCATTATATTTGCCCTGCTCGCACTGCTGACTCGTCGTCCATTGTCGTACTGTCTGCTATTATGCACCCACTGCCAAGTCAAATTCCTTCTATGTCTGACATATGTCTGACATGTCTTGTAACACCGTATTGCCCTACAAGGCAACTGCGCTCCATAGATGCTGGGTTACTTGTTGTTCCTATGGTTTTAAAAAGTAGGCTGGGGGCCAGAGCCTTCAGTTATCAAGCTCCTCTTTTGTGGAACCAGGTTCCACTTTCAGTCCGGGGGGCAGATTCGGTTAGCTCTTTTAAAGTAAAACTTAAAACGTTCCTCTTTGATTCTGCCTATAGTTAGGGCTGGCTCAGGTTAGTCCGGACCAGCCCTTAGTTAAGCTGCTATAGGCTTAGAATGCCGGGGGAATTCTTAGGACACACCGAGCTCCTCTCTCACGCTCTCTTTCTACCATAATTCAAGTTTTATTAATGCACATGACTAATTCAGCTTCTTTCCGGGAGTTTTTTTTTGTGCTTTCGCCCCTATCAGGTCTCCATAGATCGTGGTTCCTTCGGGACCCTGGTCCTGACACCTACCGTGGCCATGCTGACGCCTGCTGCTGCCATCATCATCATCATTATTTTAGATATTAATCATAATACTTTACTCATAAACCGACATTACCCTCTCCTAAAATCTCTGTGCTCTCCCTCCCCACAGGATTCTGTGGATGGTGGTCCTATCTGATGGTGGTTGCCTCTGCAGTGGTCCTGCTGTGCGCCTGGCTTACTACTCACAATTACTTGAATCATTTCTGTCATAGGAATTGCATGTATTATACATTGTTCATTCTGTACACATGGCATCCATTGTAGTCTGTCCATCCCGGGAGTGGGATCCCTCCTCTGACGTTCTCCCTAAGGTTTCTTCCCTTTTTTCCCTCTTGTAAGGGTTTTTTCATTTTTTGGGGAGTTTTTCCTGTGCCGATGGTGGGTTTCGGGGCAGGGGATGTCGTATGTGTACAGACTGTAAAGCCCTCTGAGGCAAATTTGTAATTTGCGATTCTGGGCTATACAAAATAAAATGACTTGACTTGACTTGACATATTATGGCAATAAATGTTGTGTGATGTTTCCTGATTCCACTTTCAGTCCGGGCGGCCGACACAGTCAGCTCATTTAAGATTAAGTCTAATGCCTATAGTTATGGCTGGCTCAGGTCTTGACCAGCCCTTAGTTATGCTGCTATAGGCCTGGACTGCCGGGGAATTTTCTTAGGGCACACCGAGCTCCTAGCTCTCTCTCTCCCTTTATAAGAATTCAAATCTCATTGATGCACATTTAGCTTCTCTCCTGGAGTTTTTCTGCTTTCTCGCCTCACAGCTTTCCATGGACCCTGTTCCTGCCTCCTGTCATGGCCCTGCTGACATCTGCTGCTGCTATCATTATAAATATTAATCACATTTCTATTACTGATCATGAACCAACATCTTTTCCTCTTTCCCGAAGGCTTTCCCGCCCCACAGGTTTCTGTGGATGGCGGTTGTTCCTGCAGTGGTCCTGTCGTACACCTGGCTTGCTACTCTCATCATTTCAATCATTTTGTAGGAATTGAACTTTTGCTTAGATCTCTTACGCTGTTCATTGTATGTGCACAGCGTATTTGTATTATTAAAATACATATTATTTTGTATCAAAATTCATTTTGATACATTTGTCCCAACTCTGCTGCTGAGGCAAATTTATAAATTGCAATTTTGGGCTGTACAAAATAAAATGAATTGAATTGAATGAACACAGAGCACACACAAACATTCATTTTGGCATCCACCGCTTTAGCTGGAGCAATCCTTTGATGACAGACATCCAGCAGATGCTATTTAATTTACAAATAGATTTTTTTTTAATCCAAAATTAGGAAAGTGAATCTGGTAAGCAAAGCTCCAGAATGATGCAGCAGCTCAGCATTTATTTTATTTCATAGTTTTATTTCACAGTGACCCCTGACTGACCATGCGTGAGTCAGTATGTGTGTGTTTGTGTGTCTTTTTGTATCACTCCTGACTGGTAAATATCCCCTGGCTGTAGACTAGCTGCCTACCACAACATAGATGTTAAATAACTCGGATGGATCCAAGTTTCAGCAACAGGTACGGTCAACATGTGCTGCAGAACAATTCTAGAATGACTGATGGAAAAGAGTAATGGATAATATCCCAGGAGATGCGAGACGGGCCAATAACACAGAACAAGCAATCAATGCTGCATGAAACACTGTGACTTCCTAATTAGCAGCCACGCAGGGCTGATAAAGTTCACCTCCATATCCATATTCATCAGGCACTATTAAAGGCCATTTCATCCTAAACATCCCTGAGCAATGCCATGAAAATATTCTAAAGAAAATAATCTAAAAGAATTTCAGTGGAACTTTACAGTTGTAGATAGTTTGAGCTCCGTGTGTAACACTCAGAAAAGTTCATCTAAAAATTAAAAAATTAAGAAAAGAACTGTGTGAGTCTGTGAAATCAAACACAACAAGCTTGATGCCTCTCTCTCTCTCTCTCTCTCTCTCTCTCTCTCTCTCTCTCTCTCTCTCTCTCTCTCTCTCTCTCTCTCTCTCTCTCTCCATTAAGTTTGGAGGAGGTTGGAGTGATGTCACTTCACTCCAGTGTGGGCATTCATTCCATCGGCAGTTTGTCTCCAAAGATGCTGTTCACCAACACGCAGAAAAAACACCATTGCGCAGCGCGATGTGATAAAAGAGGAGCGACTTTACTCGTGCAGCGTGTATTGTGATGTTTGCGGAACACCATGTGCCCGTCGGAATATTTCGGAGGATCTCTAGGGTTTGCTGTTTGAGGCGATGCCTTATTGCAGAATCTCCGCGTTCTGCGGGCTACAACCCTGAGCGTTACGCACAACACATCTCCATGCGTTAAAGGAGCGCAGCCAGTCTCGGCTGGTTTTGGAAAGGAAAAGGGTGCGAAGCGACCAACATGACACGAATGCGCAAATCGGAGCCAGAATGGATACAACTCAGTTAAATGTATTGGTGGAAAACGTTTCCAACGATGCCAACGCCACGGACGCATCGCTTGGCTTGCCGCACACCGTGGCAACCACTGTGCTCATCATCCTGGTGGTTACGGTGATCATCTCGGTGACCATCGTCGGCAACGTGTTGGTGATTGTAGCGGTGCTGACCAGCCGGGCTCTGCGTGCGCCCCAAAATCTTTTCCTGGTTTCTCTTGCATCAGCGGACATCCTAGTCGCCACACTGGTCATCCCATTCTCTCTCGCCAATGAGATCATGGGCTACTGGTACTTTGGAAGTACTTGGTGCGCCTTCTATCTGGCTCTGGACGTGTTGTTCTGCACCTCATCCATCGTGCACCTGTGCGCAATCAGCCTGGACCGCTACTGGTCAGTGACAAAGGCGGTCAGCTACAACCTGAAGCGGACACCTAAGCGCATCAAGTCCATGATCGCCATAGTGTGGGTGATATCTGCGGTCATCTCCTTTCCTCCTCTTCTCATGACCAAACATGATGAACGGGAGTGCCTGCTGAACGACGAGACCTGGTACATCCTCTCCTCCTGCATGGTGTCCTTCTTCGTCCCGGGTCTCATCATGATTCTGGTGTACTGTAAGATCTATAAGGTGGCCAAGCAGCGCTCCTCCACCGTGTTTGTGGCCAAGAACGGCCAGGAGAGGCAGCCGTCTCAGTCCGAGACGTGCTTCGTGGGGAAGGACCGGTTTGAGACGGAGAGCCCCAGTAGCCAGAGCTCGGGGAGCCGCCACCAGAGGCAGGGGGAGCTGGATGACATTGACCTGGAGGAGAGCTGCTGTCCGTCGGATACCAAGCTGCGCAATCATTGCTTCACCAAACGGAGAAAGGTCGAAGGGTCAGACTGCTGCCCGCCTCAGAACTGCCGTCTCTCCTGGGCTTCATCGCGGGCGTTACAACTCTACCCGGAGCAGAGGAACCCAGCTGGGCGACAGCAACAACTGGCAGCGGCCAATAAGACCAAAGTGAGCCAGATGCGGGAGAAGCGTTTCACCTTCGTGTTGGCGGTAGTGATGGGAGTGTTTGTGCTTTGCTGGTTTCCCTTCTTCTTTACTTACAGCCTGCACGCTATTTGCAGAGACAGCTGCTACATACCTGGTGCACTTTTTAACCTTTTCTTTTGGATTGGCTACTGCAACAGTTCTGTAAACCCCATCATTTACACCATTTTTAACAGGGATTTCAGGAAATCCTTCACGAAAATCATTTGCAGAACTTCTGAACGCACATAAATACAAAAAAGAGTCCTGGGACAAATTGGTTGTTTTATGCTGGGTGTTGTTGGCACTTAATCTTGACTGACTGCAACCCCCCTCCTCCCCGAAATAATTTACTTTGAACTATTTTCATGTTTAAAAAGACAGTGTTGTGTGCACATCTAAAAATTCTATGAATGTAGTTCTAAATTAAGCAAAAAAAACAAAAATATTAGTACATCAATGTTGCTAGTCAGTAATGTTATCTGTTGCATTTATGCCACACTTGTTTTAATATGTGTAATTGTATAATAAGTCCTGCAAACATGCACGTTTGATCTTAAAATGTCTGTATTGCATAAATCACTACTGCTGCAAAAAGCAAGAAGAAAAGCTACTCGAAGGAAAAACCTGAAGTCATGATGAAGCTGCATTCCACTGCTGGCGGCTGCATCGCAGTGTGTGTTTTGTGTAAAGAAAAAAAGGAGATTAATCTCCACCATCCATAAATAATAAGCATGGGGACGAGGAGGTGAGCAGGTATGTTCTGTGAGTGTGTCTCACAGTGGATCAAAAATGAAATGAAATACAATATATCACATTATTTAGATTTATCATCTTATCATTAGAATGCAGCATTGTAGAAAAACGTGGCACAACGGCAGGTTTTTCAAATCAATTATTTTGCACGACAGGCATTATTGCCGGTGAACCCTCTAAACTTATGTAAGAGTCTAATCTCGCACCATCTCACACCACAACAATGTCTAAGCTGAACTGCATATGGAAAACCTATTGGACAAATCTGTGAGTTTCATTTTTACACCTCCCCATACCTCGGTATTTCGTTGGTAAATATTTGAAACATGCAATTTGGCAACAGAGACTTATTTCTGGGTTGTGTAGTCCAGCAAATTCTACTTTCATTGTGCTTCAAAATCCCTTTTCCAGTCTCATGAATACAATGCGACTGCTGTGATGAGAAAAATAACCTTCAGTAGATTGGACTGACTGTTACATTTACATATTGTAAGGCTGCTCACATGAGAAACTTAAAACACATCTCTAGAGATATTGTGGGAAGAGCTTGATCTCCACCCAGCAGCCTATCTCCTTGGTGTAATAAGAGACCTTACTGTAGTATTTAGCCAAGTCTCAGGCTCTTCTGCTTCATGAAGCGGTTTTAAAAGTCCTACAAATCATGACCCCCGCAAACTTTGCTTGCATCACGTTTCATATGGGATGTAAAGTGGATGTGAAATGTTGTACATATGATGAAACTTGCATTAGAAGTTCCTGCTCTTCTTTGGAAAAACATAGTTAGAAAAAAAGATAGCTCCTTATCAGCCTACTGTATTCATTGGGGGGGACTGAGAAATATACTATATTTGTATCCTCTGAGGCTCGTCTTCAAAGCAGTTCTACGGCTCTATGGCGCCTTGCCAAAGATAATCACGCTGTTTGAAGGCTGTCATGCTTGAAAGGAGTCGTTTTTTTAATAGTTGTATCCAAGTGTTTCTTGTGATGAGGCTGTTGTTGGAATACTGTCGAGGGAAACCAGAGTGAATGTGGTTGCATATTTCTTTTTTGACTCTTGACACATGATTCTATTCATGAACAGTATTAAATATTCTGAGACAAGTGCAGCTGGGGAGAGCGATGTGTCTTTATCTCGACGGGACTGCAAAACACTTAAAAAATAATTAAATGTATGGGCCTAGTCCCACTCACAGAATGATTTTTTTCAACTTGAAGAACTACCGGGGGGAAAGGTGTTAATGATGTTGGGCATTGTGTAACTTCATGTTGTCGTGTATGTATACAACTTCATTTCAATATAAACAACAGAGTTATTGACCCATGAGTACGCCTATGTGATTCTCTTTCTGATTGAAAAATCGATTACTGTCCAACAAGGCTTGAAACTCCCTTGTTTAATCTTACTTCCCAGTTAAATGATCCTTCTAATCAACGTTACAGCACAAATGAAGCACAGTGCTTTTAATGAGCTGTCAGATGACGGGTAATCTCTTGAGTGCGAATCGAGAGACCCACATTCACAGCGTCATTGTGTGTTATATTTTGGTCAACAATTGTATCTGAAGAAAACCCAAATTTTCACAGGTCCCTCACAATCCTTCACCATTCATGAGAAAAATGCTGCGCTAATTGCATCTATTTCTAAGACAAAATGAGTGTTGTTTGTCCTCTGATTTGCCAGCCTCTCCTGCTGAGCCTTTTATTCAAATCACAGACCGTAAACAGAGTTGGAGACTAGTTCAGGAATAGAAGCCGAGCCGAGTCGACCTTCAACCCGCCCAAATCTGCCTAATGAGAGCAACAGACCAACTGGACACAAGCAAAACATTTCCTGGGGTGTGATTGTGAAGGGAGAGCCTTATTGGAGCCCTTTGAAGCGGAGGGAGAGTGGACGGTGAGAGCCGGCTGCTTGGGCTTTTTAGGGTCGTCTGTGCGGGCGAGGCTATTTCGAGTCACAATAGTCGGAGGAAACGTGCTTATAAATGTTTCAAGAAGGGTGCAGCATCTTAGGACGCGAGACAGAGAGCGGTGCAGAGCAGTGGCGTGCTGTCCTCTGCTGCATTACGTTGTTTGTCAGGCCCAACGCGGAAATCTGCAGGTAATTGCTTTTTTTTCAATTGTCTCTAACAAGATAAGGGTTGGAGGTGGGAAGGGCCAAGAGCGGCGTCAGTCCCGAGAAGCCGCAGAGACACTTTGTCCTTAGTGGAAATCAGCTGGTTTGGAATCGAGGGGGGGTGGGGGGTGCTGGCTCCCTCCAGGCTGTTCTCGCATATCGCCCCGTTAAACACAAGTATGTGACTTGAGGTGTCAAAGGAAATCATGAAACTGCAGCGCTCACCTAAAGATGACAGTGTCAGATTACCGGCTCTGCATGTGCACATACGCAGATGTGTAAGCTCCATACTGGCTGGATGAAGCAAGGCGATAGAAGAAACACCAATTTCCCAGATTCCTACATATTTTAAGAGCTATTTCTAAAAGTATCGGCTATCAAGGAAGGTTACAAAAATTACATTTGGAGGAAAATTATATGTTTTTTTTCTGGAATGGTGGCAGTTTGAAACAGTAAAAAACATGTGGTAAAAGTTGTAAATTAAAAAAAACATTCAACACCTTAAAACCTTTGAGTAACACAACCAGCTGTTTTGGAAGTTAGGACCATTAACTGTTTTTTGGATACTGAAATAATGTGTTATTTTGTTAATGTGCTGTTTTTTAACAAACGGGATTGAGAGCCAGAGACCGTCATTGTAATTCAGCATTTTCGCATTGCTTGTTTTAATGTTTTCCTTTGGAGCTGTTTCCAATACTGACAGTGACAAAAACGAACATAAAAGTAGACCAACACGCAAATTGAACTAGAATCTCTTGTTTGGGTTGAAAATTACGCTTCTTTGCTTAAAGACATAAAACAGTACGCTTTCCCTAATGTGCTCTAACTGATGAAAAAACCTTTGATGTGACTCATTTGAAGTGCGTACCTTACAGCACAGCGAGGATACTTAATCTATATATTTATCTTGTTCGGTTGCCTGCCTCGTTCCCGCATTTGATATACAACCAGTGACGAAAGCAGTGATTCAAAGAGAGATGTGCCCCCGAATGTTGGCTGCTTGATGAACACAGATGGTAAAGTACCGTAGAGATGAACATATGTGAACATTGTCTTGTGTTGTTTCTCTTTTGTAGGAGTAATTGTATTCATCCCCACACACTCTGATTCATATAGTGAATGTGCCTCCTCAGTGTGTGTGAGATTTCATCTTCTTTCGTTTCTAGCGGACATTCACAGGCAACATTTAAATACGAACAAATCATAGCTGCTTCATTTTTCTAAGGAAACCGTATGTAATGCGTTTGCCTGATGGAAGGTGCTATTGGTCCTGCACCTCCCCCTGTTCCTTCGCTGAGGAAGATTTTTCTCTCCTCACTTTCGTGTTTATTTTTCCTTCCATCACTTTTACTTTTTCATCTTTACATTTTTCTACTTTTTTTCAAAGCGACTTACAAATGATGCATTCAACCAAGAGGCGACGAAGCCAGAACGACAAGGCAAGTACAATTTCTTCAGGAAAGTCAAATGACAAAAGTGCTGTAAGTGAGCGCCACCGTAAGTGCTAATAAAGTACTACCTCGTATAGTCGGTAAAGGTGAGTTTTCGGTGAATTTATTGGACTCTCTCATGGATTTTGTCATAGTAGCCAGGCCATTAACACCTCCATGACCTGGGATACTACTCACACTCTAAACACAGGAAATGGACTGGCTTTACTGTGTGCAGGTGGGTCACAAGAAGAAAGGAACACAGAAAATAAACAGTTTCAAAAAAGAATTTATACTCAAACCATTTTTATCTTCAAAACAATACAATTTACAAAAGCAGGACTGCCTACTTGGCATAGAGAAACAGAAATTAAAGCATCGGCTAAAAACTTCCCATGTCAAAGATCTCCAGCTTGCATATATCATCATCCCAAAGAGCTCCAGTGGCGGCTGTAGTAGAATTAATTGCAGCCATTAAACTAATGTACGGCGCTATGGGAGAATGACGAAATAATAATGACAGAAGTTCATTGCACTCTCTGCTCTGATCCGGTCTCATTGAGTCGGAGGGGCGGGAGTTCATGCTGCAGGTGTAATTAAAGGGTCCCTGTGCTTGAATTTGTCTTCGGCCTCCAGGAAAATGAGTGCACCCATCGGTGGACCGCATGCACTTCGCAGCAGGAAGGGGTTGTGCAGGCTTGAAGTTGTAGTCATCAGGGTATCTTCAACGATAAGTACTACAGTCTTTCAACCTGCACTTCAAAGTGACTTTGCCTCTGAAAGCGCCTCATCGTCCAACACTGCAACCTCTTCATCTCTCACGTCCGCCATCAAGCTCCTTCAGTGTGCACTGTCCATTGACATGTTGAAGAAGCGATAAAACATAGAGATTAGTGCCAATTCAAGCAACAATAGACAGCGTTCAGCTTTTGCTTTTTTTCAAAAATGCAAAACTGCAAAAAGAACGGAGCAGACAAGAGCTAAAACATCTAACACACACGTTCCATTTTAATTCCCGGACGTTTTTGGCTGTCATCCGATTGAAATATATAAATCCCTTCCAAAACGTGTGTGCATGTTAGGGCTTTGTTGCCATCAGCTTGGCCCATTGATTTATCATTTCAAGCTTTAATACCAGAAGGGAGGCGATGTTTCTTTTTAAGCTACAGTAGGAAGAAGATAACATACTCTTCCTAAGGGCAGAAGTGTGAGGATCCAAAAGGAATCTGGGTGAAACAGTTTTACCATTCTTTGTAAAACAAAAAAGCTCTGACAAATCCACAAACTGACCAGGACCAAACATGAACAGTTTGTTAGCTGCTGGACACAGTGAAGCATTTAGAAACTCAAGAGATGGATTTTTTCCACCTGGAGTTGGTGGAGACCAAAAGGGAGTGAATTTCAGTGGCAACGTGGCCACAACATAAATCCAATCAAATGCTGTTGTTGTTGCTACAAGTCGGCTAGATATGTAAATTGGGAACTAGACACAAAAAGAAATAAATGAACCCAACCTTTTTCTATTTGGTGCCGACAATCATGAACATAATTCTCCATATAATTATGTACATCTGGGATATTTACCAATAGATGAAAATAACAAAAATATCAACAAAAAGATGTGAATAAATGGTATGCAGCTTTTAAAAAGATAATCGAGTTTGATTATTGGAATTGTTTTATTTGTGTCCAACACCATCTGCTCTCAATTAATGTTTTCCTCACACTAATTCACCCTCAAAATTGACTACTGAAATGATAAATTATCACTTTTCCAGAGGACGGGGTAAAGCCAGCTGTCGGGACAGGAAGTAGAGAAAGATGTGGGAGGGGGGGGATGGAGGTTCCCCCGGCGCTGACCTCCGTCTCAGCGAACCCGAGCTGAACGCAGCCTAATGAGGCCCACAGTCACTCCGCAAGCAGAGATTTATCTTATATATATCTGCTTCATATTCACTTATCGTGGCGTGCGTGGACAGATGAGCCTGATACGTAGCTCAGCCGCTATTTAAACAGCTCTAATCCAAATGCGAGATTGTGAAACAATTACTCAAGTGTTGGTCTCAGACGTCGACGCGGTCCCACACCCGTCATCCAGGGCGACACATTCTCGCAGGCAATCAGACCTGCCGACGAGCAGCCGAGCTCAGGAAGGATCGTCATTTTGTTTTCCATCCCACTCTTTAATCTCGTCCCCTGACTCCAAACTATTTTGGACCCCTCATCTTGCGGTCAGCGCTCCCAAGCACCAAAGGAGACGGAGTTTCAAACCGTTGCCACAAAGAGAGTGTAGTGAAATCCGGCGGTCCCGAGGACGACGGGAAGTAATAAATCAAAGACACGGGCTGATTGAAAGTGATTGCCGAGGAGAGAACAGCTGTGCCAGATACTGGCCCCTTGTTTGTGCGACATCAAAATAACGCAAGGGGAAAACTACAGGAGTAATGAATGAGCTGACGACACTCTGAGGGAATGTGAGGGAAGGGGGACGTCCCGCGGACAGAGCCTGATCCAAACAAGGGGTTTGTTTTCGTAACCTGTGATCCCTGTCTACCGCATCTAGTGGCCTCCATTTTCCTTGTCGTATCTCTACATAAGGTATAAAGCTGTAATCAATCTTTGAGGAAAAGTCCAATGTAGATTGTCCAGCACCTTACAACAAATCCACAGGGGCCTTGAGCTCCTGAACATTGTGTTGCTGTGTTTGTTTGAGGATTGATACTCAAGATTCCCCCTGATAGTACTGTTACATTTGAAATTGATGACCCCCTCGTCCAAGGGACAAAGGAAGTGATCGATCACTTAATCTATCATGTCCCCCAATAACACACGCACACCTCAGTCATCGAGTGTGTCCATGACCATGTGTGGTTATATTTTTTGTAAACGTGTGTCCCATATTCTTTCATGAGACGTGTGTGCACTGCATTGGTCAGGCAAAGGCCTGTTTACGCAGCCTCAAGACGTTGACAAAACCAGAGATCATGTCCGTGAACTTTTCACATTCGTAAGGGATGCGGGAAGGAGTGATATGAAAGCAGGCTGCCATGAGAAACACGCTCTGATCTCCATTAATGAACAATTTTCAGGGTGTAAAGGAGGTGTGCCGTGATGGGTGGGACGCTATGAGGTGGCCGCCGCAGCTTTGAAAGTGCTCTTTGAAGCTACACATTAATTAAAAATGTTCCGTAGTGAAAAGAACCAAAAAGTACATTATTGGTGAATGGTTCAAGGGCGACAATAGCCTTGTTATGTTGCTGCAAAGTGAATGTAAGTGCTTTGCTGGCTTAATGAGAAGGCAGTATCTCTGCTGCTGCTGGGATCCAAACGCCTTGAAGGAAGAACAGGTGCGGGGGGGGGGAGGCTGCCCGCTCCGATTAGCAGGCAGATGGTGGAGTAGAGGAGCGGAGGGAGGATGGTGAAAAGACAGGAGAGACAGAAAAATAAAGGAGAAGCAGATCTGCCAACACACTCCGACACTCAGAGAGGTAAACATGAAATCATAGAAGTGGGTTCATTAGTGACTGGACTGACACCAGGTGACGGATGGATGGATGGATGCAAAAGACAAACACTTGACTGATCACATTAATGCATTTATTTGAGCTTATGATGTTTATAATTTTTTTTATCCTACATTGTACGACAGACACTATTTTTCAAACGTATTAAAACTGTTGGAGACCAGCCCTCTGCAGCATTTGCTCCGATCGCAGGAGGAAAATCTATTGATTAGCTACCAGTACTGAAGGGATTGATTCTGAACAGACATTTGTGGTTACCCGAGTAAGAAACCGCAACTGTAGGGATCCGCTCACTTTCACGTCTGTGCTACAACCAGGGGAAAAAAGTGGTTCTGTACTCAAGTTAATGACCTGATGTCCAATATGAGTAAATCACAGGTCCCCCCCCCCCTTCTCATGCAAAGAACGTGTAATACAGAGCAAACCTGTGATCATTTTTTAAAAGAATCCATTATCTCAGTGTTTGGCAGGATTGCTATTTTTCCACAATGAAACATCTTTGTCAAAATCTCCCCAGTAGAGACTCGGGTGTCATGTTGAGTTTAATCATGTGACCTGGCGTTATTGCGGCCTCATTAGGGTGATCCCTTTTAGTTTGTAAAGGAAGCTGAATGCCTCGAGGTTTCTGTTGGCGGTGATGAGATGCTGGCCCTGCAGGTGAAGCCTGGAGCACCGCCGTGTTCCTCCTCTGGAGACCATGAATGTCTGCACACAGTAAATCATTGCAGTCCTTCCAATAGTTTTTTTCAGTTTGGACCAACAGACATATAATCATAATGGGTCCCCGAAGTGGGTTTAAAACCGTAGAACTTGTTCTCGTTAAGAGGAGAAGCATTGTAACTTGAATACAATATATTTCTGTTGTGTTTTTTCTTACAATGACATCTTCTGCAGCCCATGACACTCTTCAATCCCTCTCATTTTCATATCATCCATTGTTTGCTGACGGAGGTGACAATTTGCGCCACACTGGGTTATTACAGCGATGTGTCCCTCTGCTCTGCATATGAATTATGCAATGTTCATGTGGCCTGGACTACAATTCCTGGAAACAAAGGCAGTGACGATATTTGTACCTTTTTGTCATGAATTAAATTCAAAATCCACCTGCCATTGGGGTCGATGTTGCAGCCTGGGGACGTCACCCAGGTTGAATTTGGATTTCATTCAGTGGTACCTGATGAAACTATTGAACAGAAGTTACGGCAAGCTGATACGTGGGCACTTTTCACAGTCTCGCACAAGCCATCAAAAAGCATTCGTAAATCGACGGTTGAAATCATTGCTAGTGTTCACACACATTCCTGTAATGGACACAGAGTGAGTCAGAAACACAGACGGGGAGACGAGCACCGATTCAGAATAATTTAGGACCAACAGGCATAGAAAAATATCACAACCTCTCAGCTGTAAAAAATGATCAAAACACAGTGGAAAACGTTGAGGCTTTAATTCCACCCGAACACTAAAGGCACCTGATTTCATTGATTAACAGAAAAATAAGAACACATATTTTTATTCCACTACCTTTTGACAGTATGGTATTTATTTAGATTTGCATAGCAAAATACCCCAAGCTGAATTATTTGTGGTTATGTTATTTTAGAGTGACATGATACTCTCTTCTCTTCTGACCAGGATGCTTTCAGTGACATGAAAGTTCAACAGCTGAACATTTGCAGCTCTCTTTTTTTAATCCAAAATATCAAACCAGCAAAGTGTATTTTGTGTGTTTTGAAACATGATATACCTCCAACATGTTTGGCTCCATCAGTGAGAACATCACTTCACTCTCAAAATATGGGAAGTCTTGCCTTCAGCATCTCATGTACTCATTGATATGCATCTTAACTGGCCCTCAAACAGGAAACCTCATCAGACCCAAAGCATCTCAACGTGTTCCTGTATATCATTTATTTTCCGCCCGAGACTTTGCATGAGCTTGCGTGTCACCATTTTTTAAGCACTTCGGCACTTGGCTATGGGTGGTGTTGGCCGGGCTTCCTGTTTTTCTCCAGCTCCGCGTAAGCTTCACCTGCACCACAAACCTTAACCTCCCCGAGTTCTCACTTGTCGGACTCTTATGAGTCCGAGCTCCTTCCTCTTCATTGTGTCTGCTGGAGGTTTGGCTTAGTTTTCTTTCACGTTGTGTTTTGCATTCTGACAGCTTGGTTCCTTTCTCACCTGCAGATTACAGACCGAGTTGAAACAGACAGTAGACCAGATGGACAGATAGTCCAACACACAAAAAAAAGCTACCGTGAGTATATGTAGTTTACAAAAGTCATGCGTGCACAGAAACGGCCTAACATGTACATACTGTACA